TGTTTGTTGAAATAAATTATTATAAAAATGTGACTTATTAAACATAAATTAAATTGCCATGCGATTATAATGAATTTCATTATTTCAGCAAATAAAAACCTCAAAGTTTAACCAAACTTATTAATTTTGCAGATATATAAGTGTTATTATAAAGGAAGTACTTTCTTTTACGACTGCAATCGCAAAAGTCACAGGAAAGAACAATACAGAAACGCAAGAAAAATTAAACTAGCCGACAATTCTGAGATAGTATTATTCAGTGAGTGATAGTATTGTTCAGTGAGACGCTCTGAGATAAAAGGAAGCAGAGCAATCCTCATGAAAAACAGAGAATCCAAATTGAAATTACAATGCCTCGATCGATCTTCCGCGGCCTTTTAACAGCAAATACAAGTCCTGGGCAGACCGGCGCTACATCATTCGTTCATATTATCCACGTAATTCCTTTTATTTTCTTCACTCCTTACCGCGCTTGAAATAAATTGATATAACTATGCCGAAAAGCTGACCACATCAATTTTCCACGGAGCCGATTAATTTAGGTCTGTAAAGCTGGCACTCCGAAATGCGAACTTTTACAAAACTTGTTTGATTGTCCACAATTCGACTATATTTGTCCATACGTAATTTTCATCTTGCAGAGAATAAAATAAGAAAAGAGAACAAAAAAATTTTGAGTAAATCAATATGGTCAATTTTTAAACAATCAAATACCGCATAAGTTTTATAAAAATTCGCATTTCGAGATGCCATAGTTTCACACCTCCGATTAATTTACAGAATAAATCCCAAAATCAGCAAAAAATAAATACATAATTTTATTTCTCAATAAAATCTTAGTCTCTTTTTATTATATTTGTAAAGCATCACAAATGAAAGACAACTGCTCGTAGTTAAGTCTCGATTTATGCATGACAGACTGAAAATATCTATCCGGCAAGTTGCAACATCCTCGGAATAGAATAGCTCGATGTTTACGATTTAATGCATTCGCCTTTCCTCAACGCGTCATGGAATACACGGACGTTATGCCACCTGCCACACTGCGTGTATGGCTGTATGCGATATGCCTGTCTTCACGTGTCACGAATGAAACAACTATATACTCTTCCAGTAGTTAATGTAGCTAATTATCATATTAATTATTAAATTCGATAGTCAACCTATTTTAATATATTATATACGAAAAAAAATTGTAACACGCACCTATTTTGAATCCATATTTAGAAATATATTTAGAAACATATTTTAGAAATACTTCAAAAGGTTTGTTAACTATGAAAACTAGTCCGGTAAATCATATGTGACGTCTAAAATCAAGAATGATGGCAAAGGAATGCGCGTGAATCCAGTTTCTATGGTTTTTTATACTTGTAATAACCAAGTGCAGATATGTAACGAAGACCGTACGTATGTGCACTGTAATTCAAGTGATCGCGAATGTGCATCTCAATCTTCCTGATTCGTGTCCCGCATACGGAATAAATGCTTCCGCATGTTAATGATTTTGTTACAAGCAGGCTACCGCGGCTATGAAATGCATCTCGATTCTCGGGGTGATTGACCGCAATCTTGGCCGATATGCAAGTAAAATTTCACAGTGCAGAAATAAGCCGAATCTCTTTCATAATGTGTGCCAGATTTTAACGAGCACACTTGGCACTCCTAGTAGTTCCATAAAATTGATGTATGAGTATAAATATATAAATAATAATAATAAAATATGTACAAATATATCTATTATTTATATATTATTTGTATAAATTCAACTATACACGTAAATAATATTTGCACAAATATTTGATTATTATTCTGCACTTATATCACAGCGTTTTCCTTCCCGAATTTTGTGCGAGATATTATAATTTAGAATGCAGACGTGAAGCTAACGTAATCGTTTCTTACTGTTCTCAAAATTTAGAAGGGCGCAAGTCTGAAGTGACGACACCTTCTCTTATGGATTAAGTAATTAGGAGCAACTTCTCATAATTACGTAACTCCCCGGTATGAATACGAGACATAACTTCGTATACTTAATTGTAGCCCTAATCTATTCTAATCTAATCTAAGTCGGTGTCGTGCAATTTCGAGTTATGGACGGGAGAATGGTGTGTAAATTAGCGCGTATAAATTTCATTATATGCGCGGCACGATACTAATTATCCGTACGACATTTCTAGTTTCAGTTGACAAATTGCGACCTGAATTTTACACGAATACAACAACTGTGATTTATCACATTCCCTAATCATAATATGTACAAATATACATATATCTAATATATTGCAACGGACAGACACGTTCGATGTGCACATTAATGTAGCAATATGAGGAAGATATCTCACGCCATTATAATAAATGATATACGCAGTAGCGGTTGAATAAAGGGATTACCCAGTCACGGACGGTATCACGAAATTGTGTCACCCAATTAGTACGCAAGATTTTGGTCAGATTAATTTAACCGACGATGATTTATGTGAAACATATATAGTCTTTTTATGAAAACCCAACGAGCTGTAGAAACCGCGCCTGAAAATCACGGTAGCCCGAGAGTTTATCCAGTGAAGCGTCCGGCGTTTTACGGTAGCGCGAACGTACGTGTACGATTGGTCGTGTCGCACGCGATCACGCGAAAGTACCGAATTGGAACGGGTGCCGCGGTAGAGGCTGCCGCACTCTGTCATTATTCACGTCACATTAAGCATTTATTATGTTTAACGTTACATTTACCTCGAGGTTCGTTCGCTTCCCAAGTTCGATGTAACATGTTAATGCATAACTCGATCAGTACCAGAGGTCGCGGCCGCGCATTTAAATAACAGTTCTATCGCGACAAACTCTGAACGTGTTATAATTTCCCTACTTTGGTAGTGCAGTGCAGTAATTCTCCGATTATAAAATCGCTGCTCGCAACGGGCCAATATATCTTATAATAAGAATGCGAACTTGTTTACCTTTTATGAAGTGTCCCATAAATCTTGCCGGCGACTCCCCGGGGACAATAGTAACGCGAAAATGAAAGCAAGCGAGATAGAGCAGTATCTAAGGAATCGTCTCTTACAGTCGGTATCAGATAAGGCTCGAGCTCGCCCGCCGCGAGCTCGAGTATCGAAAAAATACTGAAAATAACTCGTAATTTCTTACTACTGTAGCTTCTCTCTCTATTTATCTCCAATTTAACTTTTTTCTTGTTTCGCACGTTATTAAGCTGCGAGTTTGATTTATTTCATAATAAAACTTAAAGAAAAATTAAAAATTTACAATTAAGCCATTAATCATGATCTGAATTAATATGTTAATATCTGATTAGATAGATAATAAAATCTAGTATCAATATATACTAACGTATTATTATAAATATTAATTAATTCTAACCAGGTATAATTAATATCAGGTATTAAATCATATCTGTCAAATCACTAATAGTATAATTACGCATTATGTGTGCATATTACGTTATATTCATAAGAATTATAATTACGGCAGGACATTACAATCCAAATATAGCCTGTACAAGAGTCACACTATAAAATGCATGACCTTTGACAGTTAAAAAATTTCATAATAATGCATTATGAAATGATTTCACGATAATTATGGAATATTGGAAATTACCCAATCAACGATCGAGCGATCTCTTGGAGAATCGAAGAATCAGAATTGAATTGAAATTCATGGGTCACGATCTAATTTAACTACATGGCAGATAAAGATACAGTCCAGGAAATGTGGGAGATTATCATTCTTTTTTCTCTATGACTGTCTCGAGCGGGATTCTGCAGGATTATTATTCCGTGGAACATGGAAGTTGATCCCATAATGTGACCATATGAACGAGCAATAGGGTCACATGGAATTTAAAGTACAATCAACCACCGCTTATTTTCATATAAATAAGAGCATATGCAAAGCATTAGAAAATAGATTAGAAAAATATTCTTAAGAAAGAAATTACATCTCGATTTATAAATCATAATATGTAATATTAATATATACGTAGTGCGTAACCGATGCGAATAGAATGCGTATTTTTTTATTTTAAAAGTTACTGCAGTAATACATCAAACAGTTTATAAAATGGACAATAATAAATCTGAACAAGTATCATAAAAATTATTTTCGTTTATAGAAGCATGATAAATGTGAACTGATGAGCTGCAACAAATTTATGCAAACGTACTCGCTCAGCACGTGATATGTTTAAATATGTATAAAAATTATTTAAGAATAAAAATTCCAGCGTACATACCAAATGCTTTTCAAATTTATATGCAAACCGC